GTTATTTGGCTGTTTTGAATTAGTTTTTTAAAAAAGAAAACCATATTGAAGGTACCTATATTTTTTTCAATTTTTAATTTGGTACCTATGTGTTTTTTCTCTTTAATTAAACATTTAATTTTATCTTTTAGCAACATTAGCTCTTATAACTTTGTTCTATTGATATTTTAATCTCTACATAAGGATTAATGATGTTAATAGAGCAAATTAAAGATTTAGTTAAGAACAAAAAACACATAGGTATCAAATTGAAATTGAAAAAAAAGGTATAAATACTCCAATATGGTTTTTCCTTTAAAAATACCCTTTTTTCCAGTAATTGTGAGGGTTTGTCAAACTCCTTCTTAATGGTTACTATATTTCTTCTCTTTTTTATATTGAAAAAAGTAAATAATACTTTATTTGTCATAAATGTAAAAGTTGAAGAGTTTCGTACATACATTAATCTTCTTTTCATTCATATGTTTTTTTAAAACTACCCATATTAGTATGTACAATAATACGAATTTAATAAAAAGAGCTATTCTTTCTTAATTTGACAAAAAAAATATTCAAAGCTTACCAGTGCATCAAATAAAATTATTCTAATAGAGAAATACGTGTGTCAATAGGAAAAAAATACAAATAATTAAAATATTAAAATAAGGTATATTTTACCAAAATCAATTTATTTTTATAAATAATTAATTTATTCATTTGTGTGAATTAATTATCCGTCTAATATTATATTTAAAAGTTAAAACTAAACGAATTTACAATGCGGTTTTCTTATAACATGTTTTAAAATTTAAAAAGAAGAAGGCGCAAAAGCAGGGAAGGAAAGCGGCGGGATTGGAAGCGGATATGCTGCAGCCAACCGTGGTGCAGCTGTTATTTTGACTTGTTGCCTTCCATCTTTCTAATTAAAGCGTCTTTGGATTAGAAGGGGGAGAAGTGATACTCCTAAGTCCTAACAAAATATGTTTTGACCAGCTACTAATAAGATAAAAATTAAAGGTTCGGCCAACAAAAAAAGGGGGTTTTACAGGGAGAGAAGAACACACATATGCCAAATACTTCGGAAGTTGAAATATGATTCATTAAAATTCAGAGGAGTAGTTGTTGGCGGAAAATGATTTTTTTGAAGAGCATAACAAGATGAAATGATGAAAAAAAGTGGCGTGGCATATCTTTAAGATATAAGCAATATTTTTCTTCAAGTTTAATTTTCTTTCACTTATTTCTATCTTATAAGATGTAAGTTGGGTTAACTGACAAATTTTTTTAGGGTACAATAAAAATCCTTAAATATGAATTATACTTTTAAGATTAAAGCCAAGATAAGAATGACTTTTACAAAGTAATAATATGACTCCCTCCCTACACACATTTAAAGACAACGGCAATGAGTTTGTTGTATTATATGCAAATGAAATGACGATAGGGGTTTATATAGACACGACGAAGTGATGCCTTTTGTAATAATACCTCATTAAATAAAAAGTTACATCATATGTTAGTTTGTGAACCAATATAATTTAAATAATTAAAAGATATTTAATATGTAGAGTCTTTCAGTTCTTTAACCTCCTCCATAATCTTTCATATACATATATTAATTTATATGAGATTATAATCTATTAGTTTAATAAATTTACACACGACTTTGTGAATCATTTTAAAAATATTCTAACAGTAGTTGGCAAAAAAAAAAAATTTAAAGGAGGAAGTATGTTTTAAGCAGAGACTAGCTAGGCTGTTGCCTGATAAGGAGAAATTGAAAACATAACAAAAAATAATAATAACAATAATAATTAAAGGATTTTACATAGGAGAATCTAAAAAAAAAAAGTTTAAAATTATCTAAATAAAAATTTCTACAAAAATATATTATTATTTGTAATTCAAGTGTTATAAAAAATTATTAAAGTGTGACAATTAAACTTGATGTGGAACTTAGTTTTATGAGATTCTCCCTCCTTACTTCTCATGCAAATGTGGTTTGTAAATGATAGGGAAATTTTTTTTCTTTTTTCTAAATCTTTCAACTTCTTCCGTCAATCCCCCCCCCGGGTCTTCAAGTACGTTTTCAAGGGGATATCCAGAAGCACAGGAGGCAACGGTATTGGCAGAAACAGAAACAAGTTGAAGGATTTTTTTTTTGAAAAAAAGTATAGCTACCAAATTAAAAATGGAGGAAAACTATAAGTATCTGCAAAATAGTCTTTCCTAACTAATATAACTAGTTTTAAAAAATTAAATTGCATTTTTATATAATTTTTATTTTTAATTAGTTGCGAATAGTGTTTTGATCTACCTAATTCGATTATTTATAATTTATAAAAAAGAATGCAAAGACTATATAGTCAGTTTCTTTACATCAGAATTTCTTTAAGGGAGTGTTTGGTTTCTTTCTAAAGCACTTTTAAAAAGGATTTTTATACAAGTTGAGACAAAACTCTTCTTATATATTTACTTCGTATACTATAAAATTACTTTTAAAATTATAATTTGATTTCTATTAAATACCCCTTAAGTCTATAAAAGAGTTGTAAGCCTATCGGTGAAAATGTTAATATATTACGGCCAATATTCATTAGATTATAGCTAATGACTAATTTGTTGTATTAAATCCCTTACCCCATAACATTCTTAAGCTCGTATTAGAGTTGTAAACTTGGTGAAAAGATTGAGTAAGTGTTAATTTGTTGTGGTTAATAATCAGTACATTGTAATTAATGACTACTCGTTTGGTCTTATTTAAACGTCACTTCTAACATGTTTTACATAGACTAAGAACAATTTTGAATTTTATTAACTTTCATTTAAAATTTAACAGCTTTTTAACTTATCCCTATTTAATATACATTTTATCTTATGTAAACAAGTTAACATAATAATAAATAAAAGGTAAAATTATACATTCATATAAAATTTTTTTCTCAGTACCTTATAAATAGGATCAAAAAATATCTTCTTTCTCTGTCTATAAATAGGTGCAGAGGAGTAATCTTTTGTAAATAGATGCGGAGGAGTAATCTTTTGTAGTTAATTCTTTGCCCTAGAATTTTATTAAACTTGTAACAGAGTTATCAATGTGGTGAAACAATCGCTAATGTATTATGGTCAAAACTTGGTATTTATTACCAACGAGGTTGGATTTAGCAGAATGGGCTAGTCTCTCACAACGTGGTATTCAAATAGGATTGCCTCTAATAGAAAGATACTTATGTTTTAGTAAAAAAAAAACCTAGTATTTATTTTATATAATATTTTATTAAGAAGATTTTGTGTTTTATGGCGGGAGTGTTCTGGAAAACTAAAAATTGATGGGATCAAATCAGGCCATGACCAGTTTTACCAAAAGTTGTTGGTAGCTATCGCGGCTGCCGCCAACATGAGAGCTTCTACAAATCTACTTTTTTTTTTTTTTTAATTTATATAATATAAGACATTAGTTAAATTTTCAAATAAAGAATTGTCAGTTAATTCATTAAATGTGTTGTAAGCAAATAAAAGCCATCTGCTTTACTTTTATGTGATCGGAAAATTTTCTCATTTTTTTTTAACATTTATAACTCTCTTTCTTCTGACAAAAAGTAAAAGTGAAAATTTATCATAAATTATTCTGTCGACTTCTTATATTTCAAACTAAAATTATTTTCTAAAAAATCTCTCATATTATGAGCTACAGGGAATAATAGATTCTCTTTTTAAAAGAAAAAAGTGAGTGACAGTAAGATCATTTTATCCAAATTTGAGATCTCATTTTAGTTGAAGCTATTATTTTGATATTTTCTAATTTTAGTAATAAACAATTTTTCTGAATTTTAAATGTGTGTCTATAACTCTTTAAAAAAATTGTGAAAATTGCAAAATCATAGATTAGGACTCGTGACAAAATCTGTATGAGTTTTAACATCAATTTAATGACAAATTATAATAGATTTTTTACAAAATACTTAATTTTTAATTTCATAATTTTACAATTTCTTTGTGTTTTCCTAACCCTTCCTGACATTTAAAAGTATAAATTAATTCTAATAACTTCTTATTTTTTGTCATAAATGGATAAATGTTGTCTTGACTATTATTTTTTAATGAAAATTGCTATTACTTTCGCTTCTTAACATAAAAACTAACTAGTTAATTTAAATATATTAAAATATTAAATTATTTATTTATAATAAATATATTTATTACATAGTAGCGTAGTAATTTTTTAAATGGTATTATTGTTTTCTTCTAACAAAAAGTAAAAACAAAATCTATCTTAAATTATTTTGTCGACTTCTTATATTTAGATTAAAATTATTTTTTAAAAAGTTTCTTACATGAAATTTAAATAAATCATATGCAACTAATTTAAAATGGTTTTTGTGAAATTATAACTCATTCATAGGATGCCATATGTTTCGTTATTGACATTGACAATTTTCATAACAAATACGTGGAATTTATCTAAAATTTAGAAGTTTTTAGCTTTTTTTTTCCCCCTTAATTTACATAAGGTGAGATGCGCGGTATTGAAGGGGGTGGGTCTTTTAATGATGAGGTCTATGATTTGACTTAACGAGCGGGAGCTAAAGCTGATTGATGGATTTAAGTTTGGAATTATATAATTTTTAAATTTATTTTGCAGCACTTATAATAAATATTTTAATTTTTAAAATTATAGTATATGTTTCCCCCGAAATTATACTTAAACTATGAAATTCATCATTCAAGTGATTTTTATTTATTTTTTCACAATCTGTTACTTTTAAATCATTGAAGCTAAAACTCTAATGAACTAATTAAGTAAAAATTTAAAAATGATTAACTAATTACCAGAAATAATTATCTTCAAGTTTTGGTCAAATAAAATGACTGACAAAAAAGAAAAAAGAAGAAGAAAAGAATAAAGAGAGAAAAGCCACAAAAGTGGAGCAGATATTTGGATTTATTATATTTATTATTCCATGAAAAGCCGGAAAATGAAATAACGTGTGAAGTGACTAAAATATCATCACTTTGGCAGCAGCATCGACGCACGGTAAAGTGAAGTGAAGAGAGAGAGGGGGTAGAGAGAGAGCGTGAAGAAGCAGACAGACAGTGAGAGGAACTCATGGCCGTTTCCGTCCCAATTCTAGCCACCGTCGTCTCCCTCCACCTCATCGCCTTTGTTCTTGCCGTCGGCGCCGAACGCCGTCGTAGTAAAGTAATCGTCTTCTGTTCTTTCTTCTTTTTTTTTTGGTACTGATTCGCATGCTATGAAGTAGTGAAACCTTACTACTGTTCGTGTTCTCGGTTTTTCCAGGCCAAAATCGTGCCCGATGAGTACGACGACCGGACCTTCTGCGTTTACGACACCGATGCGTCGACGGTGTACGGTCTGGCGGCTTTTGCTTTGTTGCTGGTCAGCCAGGTGGTGGTTCACGGTGTCACCAGATGCCTCTGTTTCGGCAAAGGGCTTGTCACTGGTTGCTCCACCACTTGCGCCACTTTCTTCTTCATTTTCTCCTGGTAAATCTCATTAATTTCTATTTCTATTTTCTTCAATCCTTTTTCGACGCTTCAAAGTCCATGTTCCTTATCCCCTATTTCTCTCTCTATCTTTCATTTTCGCCAGTTCCATATCTGTAAACTGATCAACATCTATGCTTCTCTATCACAGATTAGAGTCAATTAGGGCCCAATAGAGTAGTACAGTCAATAATTTATTAGTAAAAAATCGTTCGATTTATCTTACGCCGTGCGATTTGTACAAATTCTTTCTTAACCTATAAGCTGTTGCGAAAGTAGTAGTATATATTTGTCTTTTAACATCTTTTTATTCATTGTGAAAGTCTAGTTTTTAATCATTATCATTATAACTAGCTATATAGAAGCTGAAGGGAAATTTCAATTGCTTTATTTATAGAAAGAAAGAAACTAGAGGGTGAGTACTTGAAGGTACTAAACTGAGCTCTGTCAAAGCATGTATAGTATGCGCCTGTAAAAACAAAGTGATGGGAACAGAGATTAATATTACCGTCAACCAATAACGGATTAGCTTTTTGGGAGTAATTTTGCAGAGTTAGATGTAAGAAGTAAGTGAGGTTTTGTTTTGACTTGTGTGAAAGTATTTACAAGCAACTGAAACAAACAACCCCTAAGCGTAGTACCGACATATTGAGATTAGATCTGAGAGTCATCTATTGATGTTGGTATATTGCTGTCAACTCTTGGGTATAGAAGCTGAAGGGTAATTTCATATTAGGTTTATCTAGAGGGGAAAATGCAAAGTAGTGGGATCTTTCAAACTAGTGGATGGAAATCAGTTAGCTCGTTTGTGTTTGCAAACTAGTAGGTGTTGATGTAGCGTTGGATAGAAATGGAATGCGAAAATTGAGATGATCTTTTGAATGGAAATATCAGGATTACATTTCTGGGAGCAGAGGCATGTTTGATAGCAGGATCAGCAAGGAACGCATACCACACAAAGTACCGAGGCATCTTCGGCCAAAACAACTTATCTTGTGCAACTCTTCGCAAAGGAGTGTTTGCAGCTGGTGCTGCCTTGACATTATTGTCTTTGTTGGCTTCCATTGTGTACTACTGCACTCACGCCAGGGCTGATACTGGTGGCTGGGAGAAGCACCGGAATGAAGGAGTTGGATTGGCCACTTCCAATTTCAACCATCCCCAACAAGGTGGAGAGTTTGAAAAGGCCTGAAATGAAATATATGGCATGGATTGGTCTTACGCAATTTTGGTGGCTATGGGAGGATGTATAATGTATTATTATGGGTACTGCTGCAAACAAGATATATATATAGATGGTATATTATGGTTGTTCTTACTTTCCTGCTCTGGTTATAATTAATGTTAGTTTTCAAAAGTATGAGCTATGTTATCTTCATTTGCATCTTAAAGTTCTCATTCTAATGTTATAGTTTGAGAGCTTGCTTCTCAGATTATTGCACTTTGTTTCATTAGTGACTTGTGATTGCTGGTTGCGTTGCTTGGGGATACTGATGGCTGATGAATAATTAGGATCAAGCCTGCAATTTTGAAGCCAAAGTTCTCTTCTGAGGCTCAGAATAAACCAACCATATTTATTAATATGCATATCTATGAAGTCACACAATATTAATTCCTGCTGTGATCACCAAACTAACCACCACCAATTATGTCATATCTGTGAAGCCACACAATATTAATGCTGTGACACTGCCATTTCACTCATGACATTAAATTGCGTGCTTTGTATTGTCAGTCTTGTGATTTTAATTAGGGTGGACGTTGGTTTGGATGAAGTCTTAAATGAGTCATATTCATCAATAACAATATTCTTATATTTTTCAGGGACTAATTATTGAGAAAATTAATTAATTTGTATTATAATTTCACCTGATTTTTAATTAGGATTTGACAATTTTTTCTTCTTATTAGATCCTGACAATTTCTTTGATTATAGCCGTAGTCCTATACTTATAATATGCTGATTGGGCTCATGCGAACGCCGACTAAGGTGCGTTGTAGGTTTTAATAGTAAAATGATTGGATAATTCAATTATTACTGACATAAAAAATAAATCATTCTGCTCATAATTGTTTCCTTACAGTTGTATATATTTTGTAATATGGCTTATTTTTATTTAATTTATATTCATATGCAAAAAAATAATTCAAAGTGTATATAAAGTGAAAGTTACGCCGTTAATGTTATTTTTGTACAAATTAATAAATTATGATTATAGAGACTAATATGTTAAAATATAATTAAAAAACTGTAAGGATGCAATGAAAAAAATTGTAAAATCTTAAAAAAATGATGAAATTATGTAGACTTGCTTATTAATTTTGATTAATTATTTCTTTGCAATTATATAATTTCAAAATTAATAATTAATTATTTTGATTTATGCAAGGAATTTTCATTTTTGATATGTAGATTAAAATGGAAAAGCATGTAGTATGTAGAGGAATATCAAAATATTTCGGTAAAAGAGGAACTAAGAAATCATTAAATTTATTTTCTTTATTAACAGTAAATTTTATTAAAAAAATAATATTTAACATATTCATTAATTATTTATAATTAATTGACATTCTTCTAATCAATGCTTATGAACTGGATAAAATACCCGTCAAAGACTATCCAACCAAATCGGTTTTCCTTAAGCAGGCAGATTTGGTGATGCGCCTAATGAAGGTCAGACTCGGTTATCAGTATCTCTCTCCCAGTTTCAGAATTAAATTTAACCCTACTAAGCCCATAAATCTTGACCAAATTGATTTCTTTTTTCCCAACGCATAGATGTTCTCTTGTTGAGGATAATTCTATTAGAAGCAATATTAGACACTAAATGTGAGCACTTCTTTCAGTAGGAATTTAAACTTTAGTTTACCACATTGTGAGAGATTTACTCCTTCTATTAGACATAGTCCCGTTTTTTACCAAATCAAAATTTTAATAGAATTCAGTAATCTTAAGCCCTGCTTGTTATCACGATTGAGATCATTTATAAAAGCGTTTTATGTAAGTCGAGACAAAACTCCTCTCACATCCTTACCTTATATTCTGTAAATCACAAAAGTCACTTATAAGTTATTCCAAATGGGTCCTAATATGTTAGCCAAAACTGAAAAAGTAAAGTTGAAGAGTCAGTTAAATCTTAATATTATTATGCTCCCTCATATCTTTAAGACGTCATCTAAAAGATTTTTGTGGTCTCAAATATAAGTCGATTTGTAAAAAGTTAATAGCCTTTTCTCAGGTAAAAAAAATAGTCTTAAATTTTTTCCACAAATGCCTTTAATCAGAATGAACAACAAGAAAATAAATAAGAAAAAGATGCAGGAAAAGAACTAAGAATTTTAACACCTGTTCAAGAGAATAACTAAGAAATATCATATACTAAAGGATTGGAGCAACTTGAGCAATAATAAAAGGACCCACATTTAGAGAGTGGCCAGTTCAATTTTTGTAAGCTGAAAGGAGGAGATCATAATTATTTAAATACAAATAAAAATAATGTCAGCTTTCAAGCATAGATGAAACCAATACACACTTTTTCCTTTTCTTCTTCTTTTTTTTTTCTTTTAAAATAATTGCGATACCTTGCACATCTGAATCACTCAACAAGCATATGACATAAGTGGGTATAATATACTTTTAGTAATTAAAAATGATTTTCATTAAGGAGTATGAATGTGGGTAAATGTATGAAGAGCACGTGAAACTAAAACTTGAAGGCCATGGCTAAGTCATTCCTTTCCTTCATTATATAGAGTTTGTTTCTTTGCATCAAAGCTTAGACTTTACCATCTTTGGTTGTGTACATAACTAGCTATATATATAGTCTTAATGATGGCCCCATGAATCACAATTAATTTTCACAAATAAATTGGTTAAGCAAAAAGCATAATCGTCAACAGAGTTTCAGAGATCTGTTTTTGCAGCAATGGCAAGTAGTTCACATGAAGCTTCACGTCAAGGAAGGTTGTTTGGCCGTCAAAGGCCATTTCATGCCGTTCTTGGTGGAAGAAAGGGTCAGATATTTTCTAATTTTAAACTTCTTTTTATTCCTTCTTTTCTCTTTTGTGTGTTTTATATTTTCTGCTACAATCTACGTGGATAATTCTTGCAGCTTAATTAATTTGCAGAAAAAGAAATAAACTCTATTGAATTACACAAAAACTTTACAATGTAAAAAATTCCTACCCCATTCTTATTCATGCATGGCTTTCTTAAATACAAGCATCTGATATCAGATATTATCATATTGAGTTTAAAATACATCTGTTTTCTATGGAGAATGTCTCTTTCTTTTTTGCCATAAGTAGAGGTTCATAAGTTCAATTTGGAAACATCTCTACTAGAGAAAAGCTTCAAGGCTGACAATGGCTGAAAAAAAAATTATATTAACTAATTTAACTAACATCATTAATCTATTCAAATTAGTTAATTACATCTTACATTGAGAACCAGAGGAGTATATTATTATCATTTTTGTAAAAGTGTGTTTTCTTCTGATACTGTAGAACTGATTTTGCAGCTGCTGATATATTGATGTGGAAGGACAAGAAGCTATCGGCTGTGATCTTAGTTGGGATGTCCACTATTTGGCTTCTGCTTGAAGTGGTGGAATTCCATTTTATTACTTTGCTCTCTTACTTCCTCATTTTCAATATTCTCTTCTTCTTCCTGTGGTATAATTCTGCAGGACTTATCACTTGGTAATGTATAGCTCATCCTCATACTGGTGTTCATTTGTAGTTCTCTTATCAACAAGGACAAAAGTTTCAACAAGAAATTAACGGTGCTTGAATTGAGCAGAACAGAAAGAACTTAATTCTTTTTAAAGAAAATTAAAAATTTAACACTTGTCAATTAAAAAAGTCATATTTTAAAATTACTTCCGATTATACTTGGCGACACTTGAACATGATTATGATATATTGGTACTATATATCAGATAATTGTTTTTTTCCCCCAAAAAAATCGCTTATACTTCAAGTATATTTTTTTTCAGTTTTCCAATAAAACTATAAGCTTGGAGTCAATCATGTGCTTGTTGGTTAGAAAAAAATAACCATATTTTTTTTTGGGGGGAAAAATTGAAGTCCTATCCTCCTATAATCTCCATACAGCAGATTAATTAGTTGTATTGCAGGAGTCCTCCATGTATCTATGAAGTTGGAATATCAGAATCAACCTGGAGATACCTATTCAAGAGACTCAACTGGTTCATGAGGACATTTTTTGAGATTTCAACTGGGAAAGATCTGAAACTCTTATTCATGGTATTTAGAAACTCTCTTCAATTTCTCTCACAAATATTCTCTCCAATAACTTGTTAACTAACATCAAGTTCTTGAATTTCAGACACTCATTGGTCTCTGGATCTTGTCAGTTGTTGGGGCTTCCTTCACAGCTCTGAATCTATTTTATATCAGTAAGAATAACAAAAGATGCATTTATATCATGGTAAAGTCATTAAGCTTCTAACATAACTCTAATTGGTCTGCTATGTATTCTTTTATGCAGCTTTCCTCTGCATGATGACCCTACCAGTTATGTATGAGCAGTATGAATATGAAGTAAATTATCTAGCAGGCAAAGGCAACAGAGATTTGAACAGATTGTTCAGGAAACTGGACTCTAAATTTCTCAGCAAGATTCCCAGGGGACCTGTGAAAGAAAAGAAATTCACATGATTATTATGTAAACAAATTTCTGAAATCAGGTTGATCTGCAAATAAAATGCTGTAACCATGTACATGCCAACGATGTCACTCTTGAAATCTCTCAATAAAAGATGACAGAACAAATTTATCCATTGTACTATAAAATAAAAAAAACGCCAAACACTATAATAAGATGCGGGGTGCAATGAACATTTTAAACAGAACAACAATGTCATTTCTGTTAATTCTTCTAAACGTCAGTTACTTTTTATTTTTGTGGGTCCCACACAATGTTCCCATATTTAACTCAATACCAGCTTACTCTCACTCTTTCTCTCTCCCCAACACGTGACCCCCATTGCTTTCCTCCTAACACTCTTTCTATCACCATTCTCTTCACACAAGCATACAAACTCTCTCTCTCCATTTCCTTCTATTCACCATTCTCTATCTCTTTCCATCCCCCTGGTTGTGTGATCTGAAGTTGAAATTATGGTATAAGAGAAAATAAAGAATTGGAATTCACTTCATCAAAAAAGAAAATTTGAATTCATTATTTCCACAGTGCATTCACAGATTCACTATTTCCCCTGTCCGAATCCAAACTCATCAGGTCACCAGCAATTTGATCTTCCCAAACAAAGGTGTATAGGATACGATAAGAACGTGAAATGCTGATGATGATGATAAATGAGAAGCTCGGTCCTCTGAGATATATGAGGGCATATGATGAATTTTTGAAATTTTTTTTTTTGTTTCTACATCACAGAAGCTTGTCTAAGTTTAGTTTAAGATTCGTTTCACAATGCTTGTCATGTTTACCCCCGGGTTGCCTACTGTCTTTATGGCATGCTGGGAAGAGGTTTGCTCTAGTTAGCTCCACCATTGGCGGTGGTGCCGCCACACCATAGCCAGCCGCGGGGATGGGTTTGCCATAAAAAAGGAAAAACTAACTGATTTTGAATACCTTGATGTCTTCGATTCCCTTAGCGTTCAGAGCTCTATGGAGAGTTCTCATGACGGGGACCAAAAGCTTGACAGAGTGTCCCCATTAGGTGCTGTAACGGTAATGGAGATGCCACTTCGGGTGAAAGCTTGCAGGATTCGAGGACTCACATCGAAGATCTTAACACTGTGGATGGTTGTCTTAGTCTTGAGGAAATGATGCTATAGTTATCGCTGACGGAGAGGACAGTGGTGGCGAAGAAAGATGAAGACAGCTGAGATTGGAAATGACGGAGCCATAGTTTTAGAATTGTTTTTCATTTTTTGCTAGCACGTGATTTTTTTTTTCTTCCAATTTTCTACCATGTTATTCTCCTAATCAAAAGACACAATCATGTTACATTTTATCATATACACATATACCCTCTTAGTCACTTAATTTGGTCAACATTTTCAAACTATCAGTCAGCATTGATTAATTGTACGGAAGTGACATTTTTAAGCTCTTTTTTAGACGTAACATTTTATTACAGTGCCTAGTGCTCCTTTTAAATATTACAATGGGTAAATTTATTCCTTCACCCTTTAATAAATTTAAGACACATATCAGTAAAATATTTGGGGCACATTTCAACATGTTTAATCTTAAAATATAGGACTCTTTTTCAAGATTCCAGTTTTTTTTTTTTAAAACCAATATCGCAAACTACGTCAAATATGCAAACAAACCCCGCTTTTCCCCCAAAAAGAAATTACATATCAGAAGTTCAAGCAATTATTTTCAATCAGGGACAATTATCAGCACTCCAAAAAAAGGATAAATTGCCAGGAACTTTAATGCACTATACATTCATATTCAGTGTCTCCTGCAATACACCATTTACTGAAACCTAGTAGAGGCAAGGAGCAGCCTAGTTAAGGAAATCATACTAGTGTGTGTCCTCCAGTCCACTGAAGAGATTCTATGAACATGTATGACCATATTTTTTCAGCATTGTAGGAACACGATCAACAAAAAAGTACTCGCATGCCTCTGGCATTTGAACCATAGACTGCAACTTCGATTCTGATTTGCGATATTCTTCTCCTTTTTTTGGTGAATAAAGCGAAAATTCAAAACTTGAAACACAAACTCTCCTAAGATTTTCTTCTCATCTTTCAAAAGAGTACATGCTAAAGTAAAACTGGCTTGCTTTTACCTGTATAATTAAATATATGACACACGCTGGGTCGATGGGTACAGACACGTGATTATTTTTGAGTTGAGTCTTGTAATAACTACTGTGAGTATATAGGACTCTGAACTATACCAATATTTACATTCCGCTTCTTTTCCGTATCTCAGTGGAAGATATATCCATGCGGAACTGTTCAACTGGAATAGAGATGAACATGTCTTTTAGCTTCTCAGGAACATCCAAATCCTCAAGAACCTACAGCATCATAGAACGGTCTCACTGACATAGAATAAAAATATAAACAAAAAAGCCAAGATCAAAAATTAAAAATGTTAAGAAACAATGTTACTAAATTATTATGCAGCAAGCACCTTGAAAGCACCTTCTACATTCCGACCACCCACAAGAAAGGTGCATCCTGTATCTTTACAACCACCGAGTATCTTCAACATCTTGTTGTAATCCCCCTCATAGTATTTAGGCTACATATCATAAAGAACATGAAGAGACTAGATAATTAAATTCATTAACAAAAAGGCACACTTGTTCCATAAAACTGAAAACTTGAAATTTAGGGAAATAAACTAATAATTTGGCCAATCTGTAACCCCTTCAGATACAATAACACAACACTAGTGGGAGGGCAAGAACAATGGGAAACAAAAATCAGATATCTCCTGTTCTCCTCTCTTGATCTGTTTCCTCCATTCTTTTTCCGAATTTTTTTCAATCTACAATTTTATAATCTTTTTGGATATTTATGGTACTAAATGAACCTTATACTGTTTCCAAGAGGTTACCAAAAAGACCTAAAAAAACTTGTTACCCATCAGAATTATTATAATATTTCATCTTATTACCTTCAGATTACCCTAATTAAAGATTACATATTCACATCTGCTACATGGATCCATATTCATAGGCAAGTCAATATCTGTTGGAAAATATGTTTGACTTATTTTCCACCATTTCATAGTTGAAGCAGAAACAGATGTGCAACACAGCCACCAACCATGATCAATTTAAACTACGCCATATTTTATATCACCCAATGTCTCAATTATGTTCTCAGCCAAGATCAATATAACAAACCACGTAGTAGAAGTGCATGAAGTTGCAAGTTCACTGCAAAATTTATTCTAGTGGTATGCTCATACATTAATAAGCCTCACTGCTGTGTCAGCACCAATTACAAAGGCACTGCCTGGAAAAAGTTCAGCCTTCTTATAAAAATAAGGCTGATTGGAAATTATTACTGACTTTCCTGCCAATGAAGGAGACAGTAACATTAGAACTTTAAATTATATGGTAAACAGTACTAAACAAAACACAATAATCTTAAGCTCAGGTGTCATGACAGGATGATAGGCAAAAGCTAAAACACATAATTGAAATACATTTTTCCTTTGGCCAGCATATAAGAATATTATCTTTGAAAGAACATGTCATAGCAACAAAAGATCTCCGTACATCACCAAATGAACTGATTCTGAACTTTCAACGTTAACAGAACACATGACCCCTATTCACCAAATTTTACACCATAGTTATCTCCTCTCTCTGTGCGGCACTTGCATGAAACAATTTTACATCATTAGTTATCTGCTTTCTCTTTGTGGCACTTGCATCAGATGTAACATAAACAAAAGCTAACCGGGAACAGAGAATCAATAATCACGCAAACACTACTTCAGCTGTATGCTACCAATAATAATATACGGTAGGCCAAAATCCAAGAATCTTTCCTTAGACATAAAAGAGGAAATATAGTCCATCATTTATTAGCACATGAACAGATATTTTATAGCAAAATTGCATCTAGAACTAAGCAACACTTCGTATCAAGAATCTCCAAGCATAAGTTAAATGAAGCTCACCAACTTTTTCAAACTGCTTGACACGATTCTTTATTTCAGACACCGATAATGGAGGCTTGTCTGCATTAACTGCAGATATTTCAAAGCATGGATAGCCACCACCACAAATGCTGCATAGATGAGCTCTTAATGAGTGAAATATTAGACTGAAATTAACAACAGATGCAAGGAAATTTGAACAGGCTGCCATTAAAAAGCAATCATAAACAAATTTTCAAAAGAACATATAATCTGGTGAGTTCAAGATCATGATAATATCAGCGTTAACTTCACACCATCACTACCTTACTAGATAGATATCTGAAAATTATAACATTGACAACATTGTTAATTTACACATAAAAAAGAACAGCCTATTATAGGTTAAATGTGTTTCTTTACACCATTATTTGCAATCTATTAATCAAATTAAATTATTTAAATTATTCAACAGCTAATGCCAAGTTATATGGGCAAATATTAATGTCTCAAAGCTCAACGTATATAATAATGTTAACTTTTGCAAGGCATATATTAAAATATATGCATATAAAAAAAAAATAACACAAATGAACTACTTAAATAGGGATAATATATTACATGGTTAATGTATTAGGTTGTTAAAATCAGCTACATAAATAACAATGACCATAAACGAGCTTGTTTACCCAGTGGCAACTTCCATAAGCTTGAGATGCCCATCGTGTAATGGATTAAAAGAACCAGGCAAAATTATTTTCCTTTCTGCTGATGCATTAGCTTCTGCCGCCCGGGGGGGGGGGGGGGACAGAGAAAAAATGTCATTCAAATGTCAATTTAATTGTTGCTTGAACTCTCTTAAGATTCATTCTTCTAGAAAAAATTGGTCATACCACTACAAAATGGATAGATTTTAAAGCATATTTGGCCATTTATCAGTTGTTCTAATTCTTGATCTTCATTGAATTGCTGTTCACATTCATCAGATACATCAGATTCAGTCAGCTCAGAGATAGATGTTGCTGGAACTTTGCATGCGTTTGCAATTGCCTAAAACCAGAACAGAGAAGAGGTGAAGAAAAGGGCGAAAAACAGGAGACCAAAAACAAAGATATTGAAAAGGATAAAGGATAAAGGATAAAAAATAAAAATAAAATAAAGGAATAAACTAAGGTTTTTCCCAGAATAGTAAAGGTGATTTTGTTGCTAAATACTTCCAGTCATATCATCTGAGAACTCCACTGTTTGTTAGGCATAATATGAAAACAAGTTATATAATTAAGAAAATAGAAGTAGCTCATCAGTGCACATAAATGGCAAACTAATATGTGGACAACTTCCCCTCACGTCAGCCACTCACCTTGAGTAAAAGATTACTAGAGACTCTTTCTTCTTCTTCTCGGGTACGCAATCCCTAAATTGGAACAGCAAGGAAAATAAATAAATTTAAATATGCATATAAACAGCATGATAAGTGATTATTATATTCTTAGGTTCATGATCAAAACAAAGAATATATAGAACATTCAGGTCCATCAGTACCTTGGCCAAGGTCACTGTTGACATCCACAAACGGTCAGCTGTCCTTGTTGACACATAAAATCTATAAATGAATATAAACGAAGAAGTTCAGCTGGGATTACATGGCCAAAAAATCATACGACGAGGAGCTACATTTAGTGAGGGGAGAAAGCATGATCTGACAAGGACCTCTTTAAAGAAAATGAGACCAATTTACAAGGCCAAACGTCCTTACAATGCATTTTTTCTAACTACAGTTGATATCAGCTTGTATCGAGTCAAGATTTTGGAGCATTATTATAAATGGCCAACATACTCCCTGCTGCAGCTAAAGAAAATGTAAAATATATATGATTCACACTGAAAGCCAAGAATTAAGCACAGCATGCCATTATACAACAACAAAAAGATTAATCTCTCCTGTGAAGCAGAAAATTATTTTCTCGAAGGAAAAAATTATCCTCACATAAAATGATTTATTACCACCTAACCTTTTTCTACCTAACCTCTACCCTCACTCAGATACAAAATTGTCCTTATTAATAATTCTCTGGCTAAGTTTTGCAAGAGTAACTTGTAGACTTGTTCCCATCAAAATTAAAAGAACATCCCCCAGATGGAGTACCCTAATTGGATCAAAGTTCTAACAACTTAGGCCAACAAAGAATTGAACCACCAGCGGCAGTAAACCCGCTAGTTGGCAACTAACATTAATGCCAATTTCTGATCAACAAGTTACTCCTTTGAGAGGTGAGCAAATACGAACAAGCATTGAAAACTTTGCCTAGGCTGAATCCCAGGCAAATAACCCGTTCTGCAGATAACTCAAAAATTCTATATTACCTGTGTTCCCCATGCTTAGGACGCGTAGTAGCCAAAGAAGCAGTGAAACCCACACCAAGAACTGGGGATCCTGATGAGGCAAACCATGTATATATTTACAAGCAAGTCCAAATCATACAATTCACATGACAGCAATTTTGCCATATCAGTCAGCAATAATAAAGAAGAAACCGGTTGGAATAGCGACATGCTGTCAAAACCAACTATCAAATGTTTAGAGGACCAAACACTGAACCCAAGAGGGTAAGTTTTATTTTTATTAGCTGACCTGGTCTGGAAAGCTTAAGAGCACGATTGTAAGCCAACAAGGCCATCTCTTCAGCAGTCTGTTGGCTACAAAACTGAGGTGGAATCTGGAAGAACGAAGACAACAATAACAACGTTGAAAATTTAAGAAACATAAATTGGATCACTCAGAAGAACAGTTCAAACACAGACCTTGCCAAGCAACTGGATCGTTGACATCCTGGAGTAAGGAATCACAGCTTCAAGCACCGTATTTGAGGCCCCAGGAACTGAAAGCAACGAACCCAATACCTGATCAAGTTCAACATGACTCCGATTACAAACGGAGTCAACATTGTCTACACTAACACAATCACAGAGAAAGAGAGAGGACCATCGAAGCTCCGCCGGAGAGATAAATGACGGCCTGAAATGGGCTCGAGTGTATGGCTCCTACAACGGCTCGGATACAAACGTCCGTCATTATCTTCAACGGGTCTCTCTTCGGCGTTCGATGATCTCTCAGCGGAAGATAAGACAAAATCGCTCTAAAGTGCTTACTGAAAGCAGATTAGATTTGCAGACCTCAAACTTCTTAGGCCAAATTAGCAAACTACGATCAAACTCGAAAAGTCAAATGTTTTAGGGAGGAGTTAAGAGGGCATGATTTTTTGTCAAATAGAAAACAATTTTAATTTAGTCCTTTGCTTGATTTGATATTAAATTGTAAAAAAAGTTCTATGATGAAATTGACATTCCAAAAATTTCCTAGTATGGAGAGTATCAATATAAATTAATTGGCGGGTTTTCCCTAATTTGTGAGTGAGCCCAACTTTTTAATTAAAATTTTATCACAAAAAAATTGTTTGTAACTTGTTAATGAGAAAAGAACACAATAAATGCTTCATTAATTATATTACAAAATAGATCTTATATTTTAAAACAACAAAAACTCATACAAATGATCGGGAGTAAAAAGTTTTTGTTCACCTAGTAGTTCCAACATGATTGTTTTTCATATCCCCACATTATAGGTATAATTAAGGTTTTCAAACTTAGGAGTTTAAACAAACTCTTGTTAGGGATGTAAATTTGAATGATAAACTTGTTAGAATTTACTTTTATTAATAAATTGATATTAAAAATATATAATTAAATAATTAAAATGTAAAAATGATAACAATTTCATTTAAATATATATGAAATTAAATTTATCAACCCTAATAATTTATCATAATTATTAAAGAAATTTCTATGAAATTTATAAATAAAGTTGCTAAACATAAATAAATTAAAAAAATTTAACATGAGTTTGAGAACAAATTGACTTGAATTTCTAAGCTAAAAGCATACAAACAGTAAACTTGATAAGTGAACTCGTAAGTTCAGCTGAATTTACAACTAGTACGAGTTTAACAATAAGTCGACATGATTTTATAAGGTGAAAATGTAAAAACACTAAACTTGAAGAGTTAACTGATAAGCCAATTAACATATTTGTTGATTTACCTAAAAACATGATCATACCTTATTTTTCAATCACGCATAAGAAAACTTTTTTGTTTGTTCCAAACATGAGAAAACTTTTTATATCTATCCTTTTGTGACATTAGACTTCTTATATCTTTTATTAAATTGAAAGTTGGGTATCTCCATCTTGAACTATTAGTTTGGATATATTTTTTAAAAAAGAAATCACTATGAGGTCATATAGAAAGCAAATAATTACTAAAAAATTTTAATAATAAATGAGAGTGTTGATTTCGTTATAGTTTCTTATTTTCATTCACTTATTGCCAAACTTTTTAATAACTACTACATTTTTTCTTGGAACAACGTATTAATTTTTTCTTCTTGAAAATTACTTTTACATTTTATAAGACAAAATTACTCTCCAATAATTAATTTACTCCCTCCATTCCACAATATAAATAATTTTAACTAATTAATTAATATAAAAAAATGGTAGTTAAAAGATGTGTTTTCAAATTAAAAACTTTATCCAAATTTATTCATGTTGAATGAGGTTATGAATAAGAGAGAAAAATACAATAAGTTATATTTAAACATTAATTACATGGATAAAATTGATAAATAAATATTAATTACTCTTCAAAAAACTTATATTTTGGATCAAGTTATTCTTCTAGAAGCGATTATATTGTGGATCAGAGGGAGTATATAATACAAAATCACTTAAAATAAGTTAAATCAAACATAATTGAAATTGTGTGAGGGGAGTTTTTCCGATCCGTGATTACACATGAAAATGGTTATAAATATTTTCACATAAATGAGATAAAATTCTTTTCATATATTTATTTCGTATTTTGTAAATCATGATTAAAAAGTTAGGTATAAGTCAGCCAACAAATAAGCTGGAAGTTCTTTTTCAAACACAGCCAAGGGAAATGCTACAACATTTATGATGCCTGAGCGCAATCCATTAGGTACATGCACGCACACATATATACAGACATAAAACCATGTATGATGTGAATTATGGGATGCGTAGTTTTGAAAAGGTGAGGCTTTAAACAGTACGATGCTGAATGCCGGGGCCGTAAAGGGAAAAGCATGTGTGCCTTTTACATTGCCATTAAATATAATGGACCCTGGGCTCCATTCGATGACAGTATTTCTCGCTTTGGTCCTGCTTTTCTTTACTTGAGGATCCCGCTTAACTTCAACGCTGCTTTCTTAAAAAAAATTAGTTAAACATTTTTTCGGTATAACTACGATTCGTGATGAATTATTACTCATACTACTCTATAAATAATACAAATTTCTACATATAATATATATATATATCATTTATATGAGAAAGGACTCGAGTTGTTAAACTTATTTTCCAGACCTGGAAATCACATAAATAAGTTCTGCCATTCTTTTTCATGCTCGTTGTTTGGGATTGAACTAAAGTTAACTATCTGTGCCAGAACTTGTTGGTTTAGATACTACTTCAGGTCCTTAATACTCTATGTATGTTAGTTGAAAATTTAATTTGATAATAAATGTAATATTTTAATTTATCTTGTCTCTAATATTTGTTTATTTTGCTATCAAGTAATCCATATGATAATTGCTTGACAAAAAAAATCTTTATGACATTTGCACGTGTTAATGAGTAATTTAAATGCATATCATTAATAAAAGTATTTTAAAACAATAACATTCATTTATTACAAATAAATTATGATAAAAAAATAATTTAACTAAATTTTTTAATATTCACAGATTAGGTATCTAGTTCTTATATTCAAGATATGAGGTAGTGTGTGTATATATGTATATATATTAATTATTTGTTCGTATAATTAATAATTAACTATTATCATACATATTACATGGGAGTGTTTGGAAAATCCTATAATCAATTAGTTTTTTTCCACCATACATAACTTTTTTTGACATAATTATCTTATATAGCATAAAATTTGAGGTAGTATATATATTATTTGTTCCTATAATTAATAATTATCATACATATTACATAGGGGGTGTTTGGAAAATGTTATAATCAATTTTTTTTTTTACGTTTCCCTGTACAAAACTCTTTTCATATAGTTATCTTATATAACATAAAATTACTTCAAATAAACTAATTTAAATACAGAATAGTTTAAAGAATGGATAAATTAATAAATAAAAAAATTCTAAAAAGGAAGTTATTATCTAAAATGTTGCAAATGACCTAGATGATATGAAGAATTTAATTACCATAAAATTCATTAATAAATAAAAAGTAAATAATGATAAATTTCAGAATAAGAAGTAATAATAGATTGAGGTTCGTCACTTGTCGTTTAATAATTAATTTTTGTTAAAACCTCTTGATAATTCTTGCTAAATCATATTATGTGGATTACAATATATTTTTGATCTTTTAACTTTATATAAGGTTTTATTTTGATCTTTTAACTTTTAAAAAAAAATTTAGTCCTTTAACCCTAGAACCGTTAACAAAAAATAATAATATTGAGTTTTTGAATGTTGATAAAATATAACTAAATACTATAATATTAAGTTTAATTTTCAAAACAATCATGATTGTTACAAAAAATATCATTTAATACTAATAATTTTAAGGTTAAAGGATTAACAGTATACTTTTTAAAGTTAAAAAATTAAACTAAAATCTTATATAAAATTAAAGAACTAAATGTATATTTTTAGCCTATTATGTGGGTTTGATTGTAACCAGTAAGGTTACGTTTGATACAAAGTATTAAAAATAAGGAATAAAAATTAGGATTGAGATTAAAAAACTATTAAAAAGTATTTAGTATAAGTAATTTTTTATTACATAGGATTAAAGAATCTCTATAAATAGGATTAAGAAATACCACACCTTCCATCCAAATTAACAAAGCAAGAGAACTGTATCAAGAGAAAAAAGTTAGAATTAAAAAGGGGCGATGAAAAGACAGAGCACGCGCGCGAGAGAGAGGTTGTTCCAAGTTGGATCGCGTAGGAAAAGAGGACACCTAGGCCTACACTTTCTCAAATTTACATGTAGGCCCATCCAAATATACTATTTCCTACATACGCCCCACGGGCTCTTCTTTTGCGGGTGGGTGCCTCTCAAACGGCCAATCGCACACCTTCACCCTCATACTTCCCGTCCAAATTTATCGCGCGCTTTTATTCTCGTTTCGTGATATTTATAATTTCCCAACGTCTATACCTCATCTTAAAATAACATATTTTATACTCCTCCGGTCCTTAATATAAGATCCAATTATTGAATTGGTTTTGGTCCTAAATATAAGACCCATTTTTCATATTTATCAATTTTCTCTAAAGTATCCCTATGGATACTCCCTCAACCATAATCAAGTAGAAGAGGGAGAGGAGATATTAAGAAAGATGATTATGGTATTTTAGAAAAAACATGTCACATGTCTTATAATTAACTAATTTACCTAACTTCTTTAATCTAATGAAATTAGTTAAATGGGTCTTATATTAAGGACCGGAGGAGTATTTATTATCTATTTCTTTTTTTATTTATATGCATTAAAAATATTCATATTAATGCCAGTACATATGATTATAAAAAATAATTTAAAAAATTTAACACATATTTATTATAAATAATAAACTTAATTAATTTATTTAATTTGAAAAATTTTAAGAAAACATTTTTTAAAATTTAAAATTTTAAATCAATTTTACTTACTACTCTTCTGGTCTTAAATATAAAACTTTTTTTATAGTGTGATTTAATATATATTTTTTTGGATTTTTTTTCTCAAATTTGTTATTTAGTTTTTATATTAATTATTAGAGAAGATGATAATGATCATAATAATAACAATAATATTACATTGATCCCATTTATAAGGTCTTATTTATAATCTACAAACTGGGTTTTATAAATAAAACATGATTTACTGATAATAATACACATGGTGATGGTACCACATTTCTCTATACACGCGGGCAAGCCGGAAGTGCGACAAGTAGCAAAGTTCACAGCGTGTCGTATTGTGGGGACCACTGAAAAGTCATTAATTCCTAATTTGGTGATTACTCATAGGCACCTTATGCAATTGCAAAGTCACATTTAGCCGTCAGTCTACAAAATTTATTATTTTTATATGTTCTACTCTTATGTTTAAAATATAAAATCAGTTGAGAAATTTATTTTGATTTCAAATACAGGGCTCAGTTGATTTTGCTTCACAAATTTAAATTTTAGTTTCCCAAACAACAATATTGATGGCATATAATGAGATGGGTTTTAATCAATTAAAACAAGTTTCTAATATGAATGAATGAGGCATTTGAAAAAAAATCAACACATATTTATTATAAATAATTAATTAATTTTTTAATTTTTATAGATTAGTTATCTTTTCACGCCACACATTCGTACTTCACACGCTCACTTAGTGGTTCTTGGCTTATAAATTAGTTACCCAACACTTACTGTATAAGATTGAAGATAATAACTAATTTACATATATTAAAAATTAGTTAAATTAATTTTTTATAATGAATATGTTTTGATTTTTCTTAAATAACCTATTTAATCACTTGTATTAGAACTATCTTTTTATAAAAATTCTCTTAACATGTCCCACCAATTGGCATGGTTTAAAAAAATTATAAATTTTATAAACAAATTGGATGAAACTCTTATTTATAATCAACATAAATTTTCTAACTAGCTCTCACAATCATCACTGTTCACTTTGGGGCAATAATCTCCAAAGATCAGACACAATTTTAATTAAAAAAATTTCATTCCAAAATGATAATAAATATGTTGGCAAAAAAAGATGATAAAGAGTTAAAACAATTTTCACCACCTTACAATAGATATTTTGATTTAAAAAATAAAATATTTGGTTGACATATATGTTCTCAAAATAAAAACAAATAAATCCAAATAACACATATTAGGAAAAAAAAATTTAGTTTACTCCTTTCATTTAATAAAGTAATTTTTCCATTTTTCTAATATTAATACCGTTAATCAAACATGACAATTTTTTGTAATGATCATTATTTTTTTAATTATTCAATACAGTAGTATTTATAGGTTTTTTTTTCAAATTCATATAAAAATATTAGAATTAGATCCCGTAAAAGAAGCTTTGTGAACTTAAGGAAAAAGAATTTTGTATGAAATGAAGTAACTAAAAATGCACTTTTATCAATATATTATTAATAATACTACCACTTTCTTTCCTGGTGCAAATTTCAAAAAGATTATTTTCTGCAAAAGTACATCGAATAATAAAATGTTCACCACGAGTTGCGATGCTAAAATTAAAAACCGCGTGAATTATTAATTTCTCTGCTTTGTGTTGAGAAAAGGACACGTGTCTCTCACATTCATCTTTTTGGTCTTGGTCTTTCGGCCAAGTCAACTGCCATTTCGTGGAGCTACAACCAGACCTTAGCAAGTTATTGCTTGAAACAACCATATATAGTCTCCATAGACTAAACTTGTTCTCTCTGAGTGAGAGTTTCAGAAGAAGATCATGGTTCTACCTGTCTATTTGTCCGTCTTCTTCTTCTTGTTCGCTGACCATTCTGCTTCAGCGGATGAGTGCCCGAGTTTCTTTGACTGTGGGAATCTGGTCAAGCTCCGATTCCCTTTGACCACTCCAGAACGCAAAGACTGTGGGATGTTGCCGATTCATGGCTGTGAAGACCCCAACGCTGAGAAAACCGTGCAATTGGGGGCAAAAATGTTTCTGGTGACGAGAGTAGGCATTTCCAATACTGAAGTTTTCATTAGAGACGCAGATTTACAGAAGCGTTGGGTAAATGATGGTTGTGATGCCTTGTGCTGCAATATTACCCTTCCTCCAAGCTCGCCCTTGGGTTCCTTTAATATGTCGCCAAGTATGGTCATGTACAAATGTAATAGTTCGCTCAATTACAGCCTTCCAAAGCAATTCTTGAACTATACAGGATGTGGTCAGAGTAAGAATGAGACCATCTTCTTCAGCACGCAAGATGAAGATGATACTCCATCTTCTTTGGCAGCATGTCCGAGGGTTGAAGTTCCAGTGAATACGATGGCTTTCTCTGCTGATCCATTTACATTCATCGCCTCTGAATTCCCCGTTACAATTCAGCTTTCTAATGACTGTGCTTCATGTGTTTCTGACAAAGGGATATGCAGGCTCAACAGCACTGGAGGATTTTATTGTTCCAAATTCAAAGGTATGCATAATAATTAAGCAACATTTTAAATTTACCCAGTCGTTTTTCAGAATCTCATATTAACTGCTTGTCAACTAATCAAATGGGCTCTGCGATTTCTTTTTTGGTTTTATGTGTAATCTTGTCAGCTCCGATACTAATTTGTTCATTTCGTATCTGCTTCTCTTTTTTGTGGCATGGATGAAATTGAGACAGAACATCGAAATACAAGACGGGCTTGGAAGTTGGGATTGCTAATAGGTAATAAATTAATTATTTAGTTATTAATTATATTTTAAATATATATATAGATATAATAATTTCTAAAATAAAACAAATTGTATTTTAGATTTCTTTTAAAAATTTTCATAAGTGCAATAATTTGTAGAATAAAATAATTGGTTGTGTATATTTGTGTATAATTGTAATTTTAAAATACAACAGGCATTGTTTATTTCTATATTATAACCGGTAAAAATATCTTGTGAATTGCGCCAGAAATTAAACAAAATAGAATTATTTATGCTTTTACAACTTCTAGACAGCATTTCATTTTGTAAAATTACCACTAAAAACATAAATCCACATATTGTTCCAAGTACTATTATTTTTGAAAAATTATCAAATTAGTATTCATTAAATATTTAAATTTTATTAATTTTTATGATTGTTTGGTTTGAGAAAAACAGAGGAGAGATTAAAGATTTTAATGAAGTTCCTTTCCCATTGGACTAGACGTTCAATATGGACGCGAAAACATCACTGGACAGATAGTGCCTGGTTATTGCTCCATAAACAAGTGAAGTAAAATTTGATTATACTTACGTTGACCCTGATGATGAATACAGACAGTAGGAGTATTTTTAAAATCATTATTGCTAAATAATAAAATTAGGTGGTTGCCGTGGTCCCGTGGATAAAACTTGCAAGTTTCTGGTATACTGTGTCCTTTTGTGGTTGTGGGAACTTCAAGGTAGAGGGCAAAGACCTGGCCCTTATTTTCCTGTCCACTTTTCCATATCTTGATCCTGGTCAGTGTCCGAGTCAATGAACATAGTAAGCACACAGATTCATTCTATCATTATTAACCGAAGATAATGTCTGTGTCACGAAAATCCATATATTTTGGCTGCCAAAAAGTATGAAATCTTTATACAGGTACAAGAAATCTTATTTGATGACGAAAGAGCACAACAAATCTTATATTAATTGACTGTATTCGTGGCCATTATAATCCTAGAATTAATTAAAGTTTCAAAGCTCTTCCTCTAAGTATAAAAAACTAATTCAGTTACTTGTAAATATTGTTTGCTATGTATATTTTTCCTTCTATGAATATAACTCTCATCAATGAAATGCAAGTTATTCCATTTCACCAAATTCTGTCACGTGGCATATATGTAGGTGTACCAAGTGCAACTGTTGTGATTATAATTGGTTTGGTTGTTATTGTATTGCGGAACAAACGAAGACACAAGTCTTTGGGCCCACAAAATCAGTCAAGAACCATTGAATCTGATAATACTCACTCAAATGTAATCCTAGAAGGTAGACACATCTACTTTAAGTTCCCTGTCTTCTCCTATGAGGAACTCGAAGAAGCAACAAACAAATTTGATCAATCAAGAGAACTTGGCAGTGGAGGTTTTGGAACTGTTTACTATGGTAATCCACCTTAAAAATATGCATTGAGAGTTTCTTCTATCAAAAATATTCATTCTTACATAGTTGGATTTTGAAGTTATATTATTGTGTTTGGGGAGATGCATTATTAACTTGTATTAGTGTAGATATTGATGATAAGGTGTTGGTCTGATTTTAAACGACTAGGAAAACTTAAAGATGGACGAGAAGTTGCTGTTAAGCGGCTGTTTGAGCGCAACTCATGTGTACAGCAATTCATGAATGAAGTTAAGATTCTAACACGCTTGCGGCACAAAAACCTTGTGTCACTTTATGGCGGCACTTCCCGTACCAGTCGTGAACTGCTCCTAGTCTACGAATATATTCCAAATGGAACTCTTGGTTGTCATCTTCATGGAAATCTGGCAAAACCTGGTTCACTATCGTGGCCCTTGAGGATGAGGATTGCCATAGAGACAGCAAATGCATTGTCCTATCTCCATGCTTCTGGCATCGTTCACCGCGATGTCAAATCCAGCAACCTTCTTCTAGATCACCATTTTTGTGTCAAGGTTGCTGACTTTGGTATTTCCAGATTGTTTCCCATGTTTGTGTCTCATGTCTCCACGGCTCCAGCAGGAAGCCCAGGTTATTTGGACCCCGAATATTACCAATTCTGTGAGCTTACTGAAAAGAGTGATGTTTATAGTTTCGGAGTCGTGCTGATTGAGCTCATATCTTCTAAGCCAGCTATCATTGTTACAAGGACCAAGGATAAGATTAGTTTGGCAAATATGGCAGTTAAGAAGATTCAAAGAAGAGCATTTACTGAGTTTGTAGATCCTTCCCTTTGTTTTGAGTCTGATGACAAGGTTAAGGAGATGATAATCTCAGTGGCAAACTTAGCTTTTCAATGCCTACAAAGGGCTAGAGAGCTAAGACCTTCCATGGATAAAGTAGTGGAGTTTCTCCATAAAATTGAAAATGGTAAGGATGATTATCTAAAGCACCTAGAGTTTCATGGTGCTCGGTTTTCGAACTGGGAGATACATACATCTCTCCCAACCTCACTGCTTTTGGATGGAGCTAGATCAATGAACGACTCAATGCCACAACTCCCTCCCCGTACAGTATGATCACCATTGTAAAATTAAAGTAGTTTTATTTTACCTGAGGGGGTGTTTGATTAGCTTCAAAAACACTTTTATTGCGTGTTTGTGATTACTTCCAAGAATCACTTTTACACTTTAATTGTCTTAATCCTCTATAAATTAGATGAATGTGGGGTAGGATTATTAAGATATTTATGTTATCATGGGTCATTAACTAAAAAATTATTTGGAAGAACCAATATTTAAGATTGATAACTGAAAAGATTTAAATGTTTTTGCATCGGTGGAAGAATAATTAACTCTGATTCCAATCCTTTTAAGATGAAAATTGATATTTTGAGCATTTTCATCCCTATAGTAATTGGAAAATCATAAAGCCATTTGAATGAGACTCTTAACGATTATTTGAAAAAAAAAATCCAATATATATATATATTTGACGGTCAAGTATATCACCTAAAAATATTTTACGGCTGTTTACCCAAAAAAAAAAGTTATCAAATAGTTTTAAATTTCTGATAATTAGAAAAAATCTATTTAACGGTTGGCTGATATAAACATCAAATAATTACCCATACTTATTTGATGGTCGACATATATAATAATCACTAAATAAGTCCTTAATCAACCTCTACGTACCTCATGTTACTTACTCGATGCTTTTCTGTTTAACCAACAACTATGGAGTGCCAAGTATGGCATTTTGTACAGTAATGAAATTATTTAAAGTGTTAAAAAATCTTCAACAGTGTAATATCAATTATTTCTGAGATTGAAGTTTAATATATCAACTCTCATCGGAAGGCACATTTGTTTAACTTCGATTGTTAGTTCCAATCTTAATATAGGATGTTAGTTTTAATTTAATTGTTAATATGAATTTCGTTTACACTCACTTTTTGTTTTTGGCCATTCAGTCTCTTTATCCTTTTGAAAGCTTTATACTAATATTAGCGTGTTAATTATCATTATGTGAGAAATTCCTTCATCAAGAGCATAATGACCTTATGACATTTATTTCATACTTATTAGACGCTTAAATTTATATAATATTGTGATTGCCAGTTATTTATTTGATTTATTCTCTATAAACTGATCTTATTTATTTGGCGATATTTGGACAAGTTTGGACATGACCTAATGCATATATTAATCAAGTTCAAGAGCCTGTGATGAAGCACATTTTGTTGAAATTAAAGACATAGACACGTGTTCTCATTCACTTTCTTCGTGGTTGATTTTAACATGTATAAATATATTTGGATATTTTTTTAAAAAAAAGAGAATATGGTTTGACTCTTATAATAGTGTGGGCCAATCGGCTTTGAGCTCACCCACACACTTTCCGTCCAAATTTATCGCGCGCTTTTGTTCTCGTTTTGTGATATTTTCGATTTCCCAACCTCCATACCTCATCTTAAAATAACGTATTTTATATTTATTATCTATTTCTTCTTTTATTTATATGCATAAAAAATATTCATATTAATGTCAGTACATATGATTATAAAAAATAATTTAAGAAACTTGACGCATATTTATTATAAATAACAAATTTAATTAATTTTTTTAATTTGAAAAATTTTAAGAAAATATTTTTTGAATTTAAAAATTTAAATCAGTTTTAATTACTACTCTTCTGGTCCTAAATATAAAACTCTTTTTATATTGTAATTTAACATATATTTTTTTGGACTTTTTTCTCAAATTTGTTATTTAGTTTTTATTTTAATGATTTGAGAAGATGATGATGATGATAATAATAATACTTCTAGTTTTATTTATAAGATCTTATTTATAATCTATAAATAAAATCTTATAAATAAGAGAGGCAGTAATAGTAATACACATGGTGATGTTACCACGCTTCTCTCATCTCTGTGCATACGGGCAAGCCGGAAGTGACAAGTAGCAAAGTTCACCGCACGTCGTATTGTGGGGACCACTGAAAAGTCATTAATTCTTAATCTGGTGATTAGTGATTACTCATAGGTGCCGTATGCAATTGCAAAGTCATGTTTAGCCATCAGTCTACAAAATTTATTACTCTTCTAATCTTAAATATAAAATTTATATATAGTGCATATAAAAAATTTTATATACTGTATATAAAAATCTTATATTTAGAATCAGAAGAGTATTTTTATATTCTACTCCTAGGTTTAAAATATAAAAACAAGTTGAGAAATTTATTTTGATTTCAAATATAGAACTCAGTTGATTTTGCTTTACAAATTTAAATTTAGTTTCCCAAACAACAATATTAATGGCATATAATGAGGTAAGTTTCTAATGTAAATGAATGAGACATTTAAAAAAATCAACACATATTTATTATAAATAAATAACTAATTTTTAAATTTTTATAAATTAGTTATCTTTTCATGGGACAAGACGCCACACATTCATACTTTACACGCCCACTTAGTGGTTCTTGACTTATAAATTAGTTATGCAATACTTCTGTATAATATTGAAGATAATAACTAATTTACATATATTAAAAATTAGTTAAATTAATTTTTTATAATGAATATGTTTTGATTTTTCTTAAATAACCTATTTAATCACTTGTATTATAACCATCTTTTCATAAAAATTCTCTCAACATGTCCCACCAATTGGCATGGTTTAAAAACATTATAAATTTTAGAAACAAATTGGATGAAACTCTTATATTTATAATCAATATCAATTTTCTAACTAGTTCTTACATTTTCAAAAGAGAGGAAGCATATATTTAAATGTTAGGGCTGGTCTGAAAAAATGTTATCATGTCTAGTAGTTGTTTAAAAATAGTACTATATGTGCAAAATTGATTAATTAAACCCAGCGTCACAGATATATAAGGACATTGTGGCGTGAGTTTTTACTAATTTTGGCAATATGCTGAGATAGATGAGAAATTCTTGCGTACACCTAGAACACCACCTCATTTGTACTCTCGCCAATCAGAATATAACAAGTCACAACATTTTAGTCTAATTATAAAGCAATTAAGATTTCAATTAAAATAATAATTATAAGAAATACTCTCGGGATTTCAACTTGCGTCAAGAAACTTCAAATTCAAATTCAAATTTCGATCGAAGAACCCTAGCCTCTACATTTAACGATCGTCCTCTTCCCTTGCTCTGCAACAATGCTCTTCTTTGTCCACGAATCTTCGCCGCTCAACGCACTCTCCATCGATTACTTAGGGAGTTGATTGTCGGTCTCTCGCCTTTCCCGGTAACTTCCTTAGCCCAATGGTTCCCTTATCTTCCTCTCCTCTCTTTTTTTTCTAATCCAACCTCACGCCAATCCCTTCCTAAATTATCCCTGTGATATCGTCGTTGAAGGATTGAAGGCCACAAGGTTAGGACCATTAAGTGTCTGTGATGACGTTGAATGAGGAATCAATGATGGTGCGTTCTAGCTCCTTAGCACTGGAACTCCACAATATTCTCCTCTATTATTTTCTTCGATTTCAATTTGTTTATATATGTTTTAATTTGCTAGTTTATTAAGGTATGTTGTTTCTACCTAAAACTTCTTGATTATTTTATAATTTTACAAATCTAGTATTCAATCAAATGTTGATGATGGATAACCAACCTCTAGTCTTTGATATTCAATTTGGTCATTCCTCAATTTACGACCTTTTGGTGAAAGTCAGCTAATGGCACATTCTTGAACACATGGGAAAAAAGCTTTATAAAAGGATTTTGAAAATGCATCTTCATGTTCTGTGTCAATGCTGCTGATTGATATTTTTTTTCAATTGTTTGCGCACCCCAAATGATATTGTTGCTATAAATGCCGGAGGTATGCTGCAGCAATTGTTTGGATTAGATTGAAGTACACGTATCCAAGCAAACTTTGGGCAAGATTAAGGGACGAGATGGACAGAGAAAAATAACCGAAATGGGTCAGGGCTTCTGCTTAGCTGCTGTAGTAGTTAGGAGTGAAGGATTGATTTAGTGTTTTCATTATTTTATTAGGGATGAACATGATTCTGCACATTTGGTTGGTTTGCTTCTCAAATGCTGTATTGCATGGTTCTGGTCCATCAAGATCATTGTATGGTTGATCATTTGTATTTTGTAAAGTAACTAAGTTCAATTAATTGAAATGTTGCTTTGCTCTCCAGATCAAGAATTTTTGTACAGTTGTTCCCCGCACTTTGGAACTCTTTGTTATGAATTTTAGCATAACTATATCTGGAAGAAGAATCAACTATCAAAACACCAAATCAAAGGCATTCCATCGAAACAATCAACTATCATGTTACAATTAGAAATTAACAACATTCAATTGCAACATTACATAAAACATTTCTGGACAGCAAGTTAAATATACTAAATAGTAACTGCCCGTTACAGCAAACTGTGCCAACAGACTAGCTAGTCAGCACCAAACTCATTGAAGTCCAACTAAAGTCATCATCCCCTTCAATTCTCAAAAGCTTTCCATATCAAAATCACATTGTTAGCCATTATGCCTCGTGTAATGAATGATTTCAGCAAGGCCACCTCCTCCTCTCACCTACCCGGCTTGCCATGGTGTATAATTCTCCTCCCCTGAAGTTTCATACCTACAAGAAACCATAATCCCAATGCCACATTTTGATGAGGTTAAAAAAAAGGTTTAACACTGATTGTTAATTACAACAAAAAAGCAAGGGCTATCAAGCCAGACAGCCAAGCAGACACTAGGTAAGTTTCTTTATGATCTACAAAGACAACTCACTCAAATAGAATTTAGGTCTAAAAATTATGCAAAGAGTCAGAAATAGAATAAACATCACAAAATTTATGTGCCTGAAGTACATGAAAAACAATCTAGATGTGCAGGTTGAATAGAAATTATTGCAAACATAGTAACCATTACTAGTAAAATGATTTCACATAAACAAAACAAGGTAGCTGAAATTACAAATATAGTTAAACTCACCATCCATAAAGACGCCTTGTAGAAGATATAAAGTTATAAACAATAATATTCGTTCAACGCCCCAATAATCTTCAAATATTCCACAGCAT